CCCCGGTCCTCTCCAGCCCAAGCAGGGGCAGGCAGCAGCCAGGGAGGCACCAGCTGGATCCCCTGCCCATCTGCAGGCAGAGCCAGGCCACACCTGCCTGTGGGCATCCCACTCTTCCAGGAGCCAGGGCAGGGAGCCACGCCTCTTTGTAGGACCCCACCAAGGGTCCTTTCCCCAGCCACAAGCCCCAGCTGTGGCACTCCCCCCACCCCAGGATGCCACCCACCCACCTGAACAGCAACAAGGAAGCAGGGCAGGAGACCCTCTCTCTTGCTGGAGGAGGCAGGAGCCAAGCCCCAGGCAGCAAGCCCCCACCCCTACTCTCCCCTCCCTGCCCCACAGTGGGGGGGAACAATCCCAGCCCCACACTCAGAGAAGGGGGCAGTGCCACTGTTTTGCTTTGGGGGCAAGTTCGTGCCCCGCTGCAGTGGTGCTGCTGCCTCCAGGCACCTCCCGCTCTGGTTCCCCCCGGGAACCATGGGCTCTGTGGCGACCTCCATCTCGGAGAGGTTGTAGTCCATGGCCAGTTGCAAGTCCTCGTCCTCGTCCTCGCTGTCTGTGTAGAGGCGCACAGGCGAGGAGCTGGGGGGCTGGCGCGGGGCTGCCGGCGGGGGCGAGGGGGGCCGCGGGCTGGGGAAGGCTTGCTGCTCCCGCCGGCTCAGCTCCAGCCCCAGTGCCATGTCGTCGGGAACACCTATGGGGACAGGGGCAGAGGACAGGAATCGTGTCCACTCCAGCTCATCAGAGCTGGGATGGGGCCCAAGCAACTCCCGTCCACCTCACCAATCCTTCGTGGCTGGGACTCCAACCAGGGTCAACCAGGTGCAGCCCAAACCCAAGCCTGGATGCAGCACCCCCCAACCACCCCAAAGGAGGAGAGGGGTCCCCAGACAGGAAAGGCATGGGGAGGTGGCACTGCCAGACCCCCACAAGACAGTCTGTGGTGCTGCTTCTCACCATCAATGTGGATTGACTTCAGCTCCCCATCCTCCTCCACTTCCACCCGCTCCTGCCCATTCTCAATAATCCTGCAGGTAGACAGACATATGGACAGTCGAGGGCCAGGCAGTCAGAGCACGGCAGCAGCAAACTGCAGGGTCCAAGGCCCACCAATGAGGGGGTCTGTAAGAATGAGGTGGAGCAGCAGTGCCCTCACCTCTTGGTGGTGATGCGCTTGCCGTTAACAAAGGTGGTGGAGGTGGAGACGGAGCGGAAGCCCAGCCCTGCGTCAGCACCAGAGCTGAAGGATGAGGCGAAGAAATCTGGAAAAGGGAGTGACAAGGTTGCTGCCAGGGTGGAGGGCATGACGAAGGCAGGGGACAGACCCTGCACAGGGGGACATGGTGTCCTGGGACTCCCCTGCCAGGTAGGTGCTGGCAGTTGTCTCCTACCTGAGGATCCTGGGAAGGAGGAAAAGAAGTGGCCTCCCCCATGGTGCCGGGGTCCAGGTCCTCGCAGCTCAGAGAAGGGTGACATCTCATCTGGAAGGCAGACCCCCCCCCCCAGCATTGCCCCCACAGCTTGGCAAGCCAGGAGCAGGGTACCACCATGGGGACCCCCAGCCAGGGCCAGCTGTCTGCTCTGTCCCTGAGCTCAGCAGGTGCCCTGGGACCAGAGAGGTGCCCCAGAGCTAAACCCGAGCCCCCCTCCTGCTCTTCACACACCAAAGAAGTCAGCGAAGGGGTCTCGGCCACCAAAGAACTCCCGGAAGACGTCATGAGCGCTGCGGAAGGTGAAGGTGAATTCGGGAGCCCTGGCATCAGCCCTGGAGCCCCCTGGTCCTGCTGGAAGAGGGAAGAGGCTCAGAGTTAACTGGAGCCCTGGGTGGGAGCCCCCTGGAAGATAGGGACCTGTGGGGGGCACAGACCCACACTGGGTCTTTCAGACAGGGCTACATCTAGAGCTGCACTAATGCCCGATGGCCCTGCTCACCCACTCACCTGCTCCCATGAGTCCATCCTTGCCATAACGGTCGTAGATATCGCGCTTCTGCTCTGGAAGGAGAAGAAAGAGAAAGCCAGTTGCCAGGCATGGGCAGGAGCACTAATGCTTCCCCTGGCCAAGGGAGGTGCAGAAAACAGGGAGCAAGGGGAGAGGGCACGGCATGAGCCCCTGTGACACCAGCACCGCTCCCAAACCCAAGTCAGGGGACCAGGTAAGGATGCATAAGCCTCAGCCCCGCAGAGGAGACCTCATCCCAGAAGCCAACACCTCAGCACCTCTCCCAAGAGCCATTTTGGGAGATGTGTGGGGAAGTAACCAAGCCCCTGCAAGTCAAGCAGTAAAGCTGGAGAGACTTGCTGCCTCCCAGGGACATCCAGGATTGCCACCTGAGTGAGTCCAGCAGCAGGACATCCCAGGGCGAGCAGCCCCAAGGGTGGGGGTACCATGTGAAACAGCACTGTGGCGTCTTACTGTCTGACAGCACTTCGTACGCCTCAGCGATCTCTTTGAACCTCTGCTCAGCGTACTCCTTGTTGTCCGGGTTCTTATCTGGATGCCATTTCAGTGCCGCCTTCCTGTACCTGCACAAACAGGCAGTGATGGGCCTCCTGTGCCAGGGAACCCCTGCTGAGCACACACCTCTGACTCAGCAGGCAGGGGCACCCTGAGCCTGCTTCACCCAGTGCCCCACAGCCTCAGGCAGCAAATGGGAGCTTCCTGGACTAGTTCTGCCTCCCAAGCAAATATGTGCAGCGTGGCCCCAGCTGCCCTCAGCAGCAGCTCTGGACAATGCTCACAGGTTTGCTCCAGAGCCTTCCTGGGCTCCACTGTGGGCATGGATGGATCACGGGTTGCTGGGGAGCTCCTGGGGCTAGGTGAGCACAAGCAGCCTGTTCCTTCCACTTGCAGCTAGTGGGGGTTAGCCCAGGCTGCCAGCTCTTCTCACCCGCTCTTAGGAAGCCAGTCCTACAGGGACCTCTGTTCCCTGAGTGATGCCTCACCCCAGCGAGAGCAGCAAGACCTCATCAGGGTGTCAGGCAGGATCTGTGGGATGCGCTCTCTGCCCCCAGGGCTCCCCTGCAATGCCTGGGCCACTGCACAGGACCTGCCAAGGGGGCCATGTCCCTGGCAGGGGACACATTGCTCCAAAACCTGTTAGCTCCAGCCCCTTAGCCTTGATGCTAGCAGAGCTCCAGATACCTTCTGCCATCCCTGCACCCTCTGTCAGAGGCAGGGGACACATCCAAACACCAGCGGGACCCATCTCTTGCCTCCATCCACAGCCCTGGGCTGAGACTGGGAACAAAGGGACTAAGCCCCACCTGTAGATGCCTTTGTGCAGCAGTGAAGCCCACCTCTGGAGCTGGGCTCCGTCCCCACTGGCCCTGCAGGGAGCCCCAGCCTCTGGATAACTGGAAGCAGGGCAGGAGCAGGGGCTCAGGCTGCTCTGTCCCCCAGGCAGGGTCACACCTGCCACGCACTTACGCCTTCTTGATGTCGTCCGCGCTGGCACCGCGGCTCACCCCCAGCGCTGCGTAGTAGTCCACCATGATGTGCGGCTGCCCCGCGGGGCCACTGTGGGGGGCGAAGGGTAACGTCAGGGGTCTGCAAGCACAGCCTGGCAGCACCAAGTATATGAGAGCACGGGTGGGCTGCCCTGCCCTCCCCAAGCACGCTGAGCACCCCAGAGGTATCCCCAGGAGCAGCCCGGCAGCAGCCCTTTCCATGGCTCCCTACTGACCTGCTCTCCCCTCGGCCTGCACAGCCCCAGCTGGGGGGTCTCTTGGCTGCCACCGCCCTGCTGTCCCACCTGCAGCCCCCCGACTTGCCCGAGAGAGGGGTCAGGGACCGCGGCTCCCAGCCCCGGCTTCCCTCCCGCC